TCCAAGGGCGTTCTGATAGTCCTAGATTTCGACAAGACAAAGCCCCTGGGAAGCGCTCCACCGACGCCGCTCAAGACTGAATACGACTTAGACCCCCTTTGTCCAGGCGAGATGCTACCGGAAGGCTCGATTGACTTTGATCGCGAGGTGGAACTGGTACGAACCAGGACCATGGCACAGCGCAGAGCCCAGGATCGAAATGATAGTGTCGCACGAAGACCATCGAGAATTGGAACCACGCCTGTTCAGCGGGCGCGTACTTCTGCGAACCGAAATGCGCCAAGACCACCACTGCCTTCCGATGAGTCGGAGGAGTTGACACCGGAAGAGGCACAGGCAATGTTTGAAGCTCCGTATGACAATCAACAACCTCGATCTCAGATGTCTCTAGCTAGGGCTGCCACCGTCGCGGCGGTATCACCTGCGAACCGTCGGCATCTGCGTGCTCTGCCTTTCAGACCCCTGGAGTACCGCCGTGCAGACGGCCATCGAGAGCTACCACACGAAAGTGATGCCGACAACTGGGTGCCACCTCCGCCAGCATATACGACCACCGCAGCAGCAGCAGAGAGTGTCAGCCTGAGCCATCCGGATGCGCCCCCTGTACCCCGCTTACCTCATACCCATTCATCATCTTCCATACCGCCCGTTCCTCCACTACCAAACATGTCCGCAACCATTAACCCCTCCCAAATGTCTCCGTCGCACCCTTACCATCAGCGCCAACAATCGATATCTTCCGTCGACGTATCATCACCTCCAGCTGCAGACCCAGGGCGTCGCCCATCTCTGCTGCATCCATCCACATACCCCAGCCCCCAATCTTCGGGCTCAATACGACGGAGGCGATCAAGTACCCGATCACCATCGGAACAAATGTCGTATGTACCCTTGCCGCAACCCCAATCCGCATACCCGAGCACCGCTTCCCACATGCCCACCCGCCGTCCCACAAATGGGCGCACTCAACGCGTTCCTCACGATAATCTCGATCTCTACGCTCCACCTGTCCCCAGTATTCCAGCCTCCCGCCGCGGCTCGGCTCCAAACATTGCTGTCCAGCGCCGTCCTCTACCTATGAGCAACCCACGCATGAGCATGCCCTACCCTGCGCCGCCAGTCAACAATTCAAGTCAGCCAAGGAACACCCTGCCACCTCTGGCTGCTCCAGACCAACAGTACTCAGCCGGTCAAAGATTCCCGATCAGTGCGCCGCCAAGAACAGATCAAAGTGCGCAGTACAACCATCCCTATGGGAGTTACTACGGGCCACAGCAAGGTGGCGTGCATAGGGCGTCGCAGAGTGTGGGCGATCTCCTTGGTGGGAGTGGAGGTACTGGGCGCAGTTCCAGGATGGATGGCGTCCTTGTTGGAGAGAAGAAGGCCAAGGGGAAGAAGAAGATGGGATGCGCTGTTATGTGATGAGCGGTAAAGCAACGACGGACGACCGATTTATGTTTCTCATGATTATATTATACCCATGAAGTTGTTTCCTTGGTGTCGGCGTTTTGGTCTTTGGAGAGGGATTGGATGTGCGAGCGCTCCTGCAATTGGTTGAGCGATTGAGCGATGTCATTTTTTGAGAGTTTGACGAGATCGCACATCGTGGTTATCTATACACAAGGCACTTAGATTGACGCAAGGAGCAATCCAGGGATTATCGGAATTCCATCTCTTTCTAAATCTTGACTTGTTGACCTCGCATCTTGATTAGAAAAACGGTGATTACAAATCTGACGTGGCTTTACTGTAACTCAACTCCTACCATGGCATCACGCTGACGAAATCAACCACTCACGACTCTACGACTTCAAAATTTCATACTCTACTCTACTCTACTCTACTACAGAATTAGGTCTTCTCTAAGAACGAGAGTCACAATCATAATGGAACCCCGTACTTTCATCAACCCAACTCCCCAGAACCGGTGACGTACTACGATATCACGCAATCATGCTCACTGAGCCCGTGAAGCCGTAGCAGACATTTGATATGACGCTAACTCATCTCTGTCCGAATTACCCCGTGCGTCTAGGCACGAGCCTTGGCGTATAGCGTGGAGCAATGATATATCGCATCGTGACATTGGAAGACCTCTTCAAGACACCCCCGCTCAACTATTCCAAGGCGTTCGAGATGGTCGGTCCGCGTAACAACAAGAAAGAGCCCGCGCAGGTACCCGGTGATCGAGGTGACGTATCGCGCTTGAACACGAGATCGCACTCTGTTATGGCGCAAGGCCACAATGACTTCAGCGGCAGTCGCCCAGGCTCCCAGCGTAACCAGAGCGTCTCAGCCGATGACGTGGTAAGCTTTCGCTCCTTGGCTACCAGATGATATAGCAACTAACGTATAGCAGTTCGCATACAGCCCCAACGTCCAACCAAATGGGGCTCAAACGTCAAGGAACAACGTGTTCTCGCCTATGGGTCAACCGAATTATCCCACCATGAGTCCCAGCTTGGTAAATCAGGCACCAAAGACTGTAAGTATCTGCATGATCAGTGTAAATGATACTTCAACTAACATGACAGCAGGAAGGCTGGATCACACCAACACTGTCTAACAGACAGCCCACTGGTTTCGCACAACCTATGGACGCTCGCCGATACTCTCAAGCTTTATCACAGGCAGGCTACCCACCCTGGGCAACCCTATCAGACTCTCGCCCGTTCAACCCGGGCCCACCCCAACGCCCGATCGCATCCCCGTATACCCGCTATCGAGAAGATTACAAGCAAAATCTCTCGACCGGTACGTCCGCGGTACCTAACTCCTGGCTACCCCAACTCGATATCGACCTCGATCAGATGCATAACCAGTGTCCCGTACCCAGCCCATCAAGACCACTACTACAACCCTACTCGATCTCGTCGTTCAATGAACTCGAATTACCCACCGGCGCGGCTGTCGCATCTTACCTAGAAGAAGTCATATGGCGACCGTCGACTGGCGCCTACGCTGTACCACAAAACGAAGCGGAGAAATCGTACTACGTCAAGAAGATCTGTTTCAGTCTCGTCAATCTCTCCAACCTATGGGATACAGTCGCCGACGTGTATCCCTACGCCGTCAGGTTCTCCAAAACGGGTACATGGGCTGATCCCAGAGACATCGAGGCCACTGCTCACATCATCGTGAGCAACGCTATGCGCATCCACAAAATGGGTGTCGCTGGCTTGCCGTTCCGTCGATGCGAGGAGTTTGAGTCGCTGAACGCAGAGGATATGGATTTTACTTTTCCACAGCGGATTCATTACCTTGCGCGGCTGTTCTGGCACTCGAAAGTCGCAGCTGATAACGTCATGTTGGGGAGGGACATTGCCAAGTATGTTGCGCTACCACTCACGTCTCTCCGCCATCTACCGCGGTTCGAACAAGAGTGGTCGAGTATGTCTGATGAGCAGCGCATATTACAGACTCAGATTCATCCGTATCCGCAGGGGCTTAGACATCCGACTCCTCAGGAGCAGGAGCAGATCCTAAAGCATGTACGTATGTTGCCGTCGCTGTTCAACAACTATATGGCTACGGGCGGTCAGTCAGGTACGTTCAGTCCACGTCAAAAGCCACCTGGTGGACCAGCAGCACCCGGGAAGCGTCCAGCAGATGGTGACGGAGGATACAAGATGGAGCCTGCAGCTAAGCGCTCTCATAACTGTGCGCGTTCTCGGGGTGATGAGAGCTTTGAGAAGTTCCAGTATGAAGAAGGTCACCGCCCAGGTAGCACCATAGGCACTAGATCTGCCACCCAAACTCCGGCAAGCGATCGGACCAACGGATGAGAGACCTTGGCAGAGTATTGAAAATGTGGAGGGCAGTAACAGTACGATCGTGGGGGCAGCCTTTAGGCTCGAGCCTGGCGAAGTCTTGATAGTGCGGCTTACTTACAACTTCTAGACCATGTAATTGATGAGCGCTGGTTAGGTTGTGTTTGATGGAGGTTGTACTACGTTGGGAGATACCCCGAGGATAGATCACTTAACTCAAAGCTCTTGTCAATTCTCAATCCAAATCGGTGTTCAGTGACTACACATATCCAGGCTATGGAGTGGAGGCGAGTCATCCAGCAGTCGCTTTGCTGGAATTCTATATATCGCGGGTTGACTAGCAGTGTCAAGTTACGTGAGGCTGTCAACACAAAAGGTTCTCGCGGTTTCTCCAGCCTTGTGCGCGCTTCAAGAACGCTCCAGATTCGGGGATGTGATGCTCGTCATTGTCGCGCTCGTGCTCGGTGTGCCGCTTCCTTTCATCACACTAGTCAGAGCGCCAACCCGACCTGTACTAGTCAGCGAACAGTCGCGAATATTACAACACACCTACTTCTGTGTACAACTTATTTCACAACATCCGCGTTGACAAACACTGTTTCAATCTTTTCGCGGCTTTATTCAAACTCGATTTTGAGATCGCCCCTCTCGTTAGTGTTGCACAGCTATCTGACAGATATCGGGATCTGCCATATCTCCGATAGAATTCCTACCTCGCGAGCAAAACCTATATCGATCTCGAAATCTGCCCGAACTGCCTGATCACCACTGACTGCCGCTTATACGACTGTCGAGATGCGTCCTCCAACTGCTTCATCCTCCCAGACGGGTATGGACTCTTTGGGCCGATTTGCCAGTACATACGATCCCCACGACCAAGGCCAGCCTCAACGCACTGTATCCGATGATCAGAGAGGAACAAGATACATCAACAGACATGCGCCCTACGAAGGGCCAGTGGAACGGGTTGTGTTGGGCCTTGACCAAGGCGATGCGAGGACGCTGTTTCGAGATCGGTTTGTTCATGAACGGGAACATCCGCAGCTCACCAGCAGTCGTGGAAACCAAAGGTCTCAGTACTTTCCAGGCCCAGAAGAACATATTGCCAGCCCCGATGCAGTGTGGCTTGGTCAGAATGACACTATCGCCGCAACGCACGGACCCTTTGTCTCGCAACCATACCCCTCTCGTTGGGAAGACGCGTCCTGGCTATACAACAACAACGGCCGTATGTCTGGTTTACAGATTCCACATGGTGTTGCTCCTTTTGCAGGGCTCCCACAAGCCTTTCATCCACGGCTCGAAGACAAGATTCCCGCTAGTCACCGCGATAAAGACAGCCGCCGTTGGAAAGAGTATGTCCCGCGAAGTGGGGAGAGTGGAGAGCCCGAAGAGACGCCCGTGGTGCACAGTCCCGTCTGGTCCGAAAAGGGAAAGACGAAGAACAAGAGTAAAACGTTGGAAATTGAAGAGCAGGACGAACTTTCCGCTGCAGTTGTCGGAGCTGAGCAACGTGCTTCGGTCCACAAGACGAAGATGAAGATGAGCGCAAAGGCGAAGAAGGACAAGCAACAAGCACCGCCAGTAAACTCATTCGGCTTGTACTTCACGGAAGTCACAGAAGCCCGCCAAGGAGCTCGGGGGCTGGACTGGCCACCTCGTGAAGATGACACCCTGCCAAACACCAAAGAAGAACGGGTCGCAGTTGTTCGTGAGCTCTTTGCAGCCATTCAAGACACCAGCGATATCCAGGACAAGAAGTCGAGCCCCATGCTCAAGAAACGCTGGTTGGCAGAGAGTGCGGAAGAATCGAACGAAGACGGGGTTGGAGACCCCGGGAAGACAAAATGCAAGCAGAGTATCGCTAAGGACACGGTGTACAAGCCCTGGATTAAGGAGCGTCTCTGCTGGGAGATATTGGTCAGTGTCGCTGCAGGTTACGCAATGACAGGCGCTAACATGAACAAGGAAACGACTGAACGCATCTACCGGGAAGGCACAGCATTCGTCTCGATCCTGGATCCGGTAATGATCGAGCGCTGCGAGAAATATCGGGAGCTCACATTCAAAGAGCGCATTTCCAGTGTAGTGGGGGTGTTGAAGTCGTATAAGAGCCGTGTTGATAAGTTGCTGCGTGGAGGGTGTGTCGAAGAATACGTGTTGTGCCCGGATGCTGTTCTTCAAATCAGCTCGAGCAACCGCGAACAGAACGATGAGCGCCAGAAGGACCTTGCCCATGGTCGAAAGCGCGAAGACCGGCCTGTCAAGAAGCCCGGGAAGAAAAAGCAGATTCGTAGGTCTATCATCAGGCACCATGGGACTTTACTGACCATCGTAGTGGCGCCTACACCGGCAACTAGTCGCAAGCGTACTCGCTACAATCCTGAGGACGCGTCCGATGTAGAAGAGCCGCAGAAAAGCCGCACCCGTAGGACCTAGACGCAGTGACCTTGGAGGCGCGGTGCTGATTCGGTTGGAGTTTTCGCATTCCCTCAGGTGAGGGAGGCGTATGGTGTGCTCAGTGCGGGATAATTTGATTTGCTTCTCTTCTGGTATGTGTGATTGTTCAGTTTCCGCTCGTCGCAGCCAGGTTTGGTGCACAGCGTTCTCCCCTCGAGCAGGTGGTAAAGAGGGCTTGATACTTTTGGTAAATGGATCTATTTCTCTACAGACTTAGGCGCTTTGGCTAGGTTCTATGCCTAGTATCAGTGACGCAATCCAACATCTGAGGCTGACGGCCGATGTGTCTGGCTGTACATGACGATATTGTGCCGCGCCCGCTCGTTACGGATCATGGGCATCAACCGCAATTGTGAATCTGCTTTCTGCGAGTTCGTTGGAAGTAAGAATATCGTGGAGATGTAGTGCGCGTAGTGAGTGGCATCTGGGTAGTTGAGGTGCGTCGGCGTGAAGTTTGACGCGAGCTTCGGAGCGCGTGACGTCATTAAGTGGGGCCGCAAGCGGAACGGGTGATGCCTCAATCCACCAGCGACGTCTCTCACAACTTCCTCGCTGTCTCGCTGCGCGTATGCCATGCTAGCAGCAGTCGCGGGTATGATGCCGCTATTGTACGACGTCTGCCAATCGACACTGAGAAGATGAAGGTCCGCAACCAGGACAGACTCATACATACATTGCCGGCCGCATCACCACCCATGACATGACGCGTCTGCTTCTGTGCGAGCGACGAATGTTTCTTGCAGACTCCGAAGAAAACGCCGATGCCACCGAAATTACTTCATCTGCAGGTAGGCGCTACCTTCATGTAACAGAGGGAAAGGGCAAGTAGCTGTACGCCACACATTGTACCTGCTACTCCTACAGATGACTGCCACAACGGCGTCGAAACGATCGCACAGCCATGACGCTACACTCCCACACAGATCCTATCCTATCTCACCTAACCTCCCTCGACACTCGTATAATCACGCAGCGCCGCGATTCATATCTCTTCTATCCACACGAGTGAAGAAACATGCCGAGATCGTCTGGCGATGGATACTTCGTATGTTACCTGCAGAGGATCAAGCAGTATATGGACGCGCAACTTGCTAAGGAGGGTAGATGGGGCCGCGCGACCTCAGCCATCACTCGAAGTTTCCGATGATGCTGCGACTTCACGGCAGCATCACACCTAAGCTTGTTATACCCGTTTTGCTGGTAGGCGGGTGGGCCACCGCCGTTACTTGCATCTCGAAGCTTGTATATGACCGTAAGCCATATCATTTTCTTCCTGTACTAGAAAGCCCTATTCTAACATTGCGCAGTTGGAACCGACCAAGTCTTCATCACCGTACTAGGCTTTGTCGTCAGTCTGGCCCTCAGCGTCCGCAGTTCTACCTCGATGGACCGCTACTTCCAAGGTCGACAGCTTTGGGGGCGCCTCCGACTCGCATCGCACATCTTGGCTCGTCTGATATGGATACACGCTGAAGAGAGACATGGTGCTGATGCGGGGTTGGGGAAGCAAGATCTGCTCGGCAAGGTCAGCTGCTTGAACCTGATCGTGGCTTTCGCTGTCGCAGTGAAGCACAAACTGCGGTTTGAGCCAGGAACGCATTATGAGGATCTGAAGCACCTGGTCGGTCATCTGGACACCTTTGCGCAAGCAGCGGATATGCCTGCGCCCGACCCTCCGAGCGCTTTCAGGCGGACTTGTCAGCTACTCGGCATGCCCATGGCGACGCCCAACCCACGCAAACACGTCAAGCAATCGCGCGTGCCTCTCGGTGACCTACCCCTTGAGATATTATCTCACCTCTCTGCGTACATGAAAGTTCTATACGACAACGGCACGTTGAGAGACTACAGTATCTATCAAACCCAGACTTTGGACTCGCTGACAATCATGGACGAAGTGTCGTGTGGCACGGAGAGAATCCTGAACACACCGCTTCCACTTGCGTACTCCATCGCCATATCCCAGGTCACTTGGCTGTACATTCTGTTGCTGCCGTTCCAATGCTACAACAGCTTAGGCTGGATCACCATCCCTGCATGTGTGGTCGCAGCGTACATCATTCTGGGTATCGCTTTCATCGGCCGTGAGATCGAAGACCCTTTCGGACACGACGTCAATGACCTACCTCTGGATGCCTTCTGCCAGCAAATCCGCCAAGACCTTGACATTATCATGTCACGCGTTGCGCCTCTCGTCAACGACTTTATGGGTCGTGAAGAAAACATGCCGCTGTATCCCCTTTCATATCTGAGCACGAGAGCATGGGCAAACAAGTCGCCAGATGAGATACATGTCGCTTTGTCGCAGAAGGTAGGTCTCCATCATCCCATGGTTGAACGCGGTGAGAACCCGGTGCCACCTACGCAAGGAAGATTAAGTGGCGTAGATAGCTGGGTGGAGAAGGGTGGAGCAGGACCGATCGGCACGACAGGTCACTACAGAAGAAAACACGGAAGTGTTTAGTTTTCTCAGCTCCAGACACCAAGAACACTACCTCTTATCACCCTACCTAATAGCTAGATCCCAAACAACCATTCTATTCCGTTTCCCGTCCAACTTACCCTCTCAAAGGGCCCGTCTTCCAAAGCTGACCCATCCCTCCCAAACCTCCGATATTCTTCAAGAGGGTGTCTAATTTCCACGCCTCCCTGTCTTCTCCAATACCCAAAAACCCCAAATCGGACAACAGTCTATGCGCCTTCTCGCCATACGCTTCTGCTTTCTCCTTATCGCCCTTCTCCAACCACAGCATAGCCAACATGGCATACTCATCGGTCAACATCGACCAGACTCCTTCGTCTTTGATCAATTCAACGGACTCTTCCGCGAGAGCTATGGCTTCGTCAAGTTTGTAGGCCTTCGCTAGCTCCATAATCTTCTCCTCGGCCTGCGCGATCATTGTGCGGCGAAGATCGGAGGCTTGGCGCTCGTCGGCTGGTAGGCTGCAGAGGCTGCATGTGCATTTGAAACCCCAGCGTTTTATCAGAGACTGGCGTTTCTGGAATGGGATGCCCAAGAGGAGGTCTGTGTGGCGTTAGCACAGAAGCAGGCAGGAAGAGGGTGGAGATTACAAGAGACAGTGATCTCTTCGCCGGCCTCAATGTCGCGATAGGCTTTTATAGCCATTGAGACACCTGCGCGGGAGAAGAGGACAAAGGAGTTCGGGTTGCATGCATGATTGATGCGCTGGTACGGTCAGTTACATGCACATTGCTGTTCAGACTGCGTCGTGACCTACCGAGATCAGTGGATACAACGCCCTTGAGCTAACCTCCGCAACCGTACTGCCATACGCGTTCGTCTTCATGATAGCTTCCTCTAAGCTCCCTTCCTCTTCTTCATCCCTATTATCTTCAGTATCATAGTTCTTCCCTGCATGCGCAGAACTCATGTCCCTAATCATCGCCGGCACGAGCAGTTGATCCACAGCCCTCTTCATCAGCTTCTTATTATCAGCCTCACTCAGAGCCTTCTCTGCCCCCATATCTACAACGATAGCGGCTTGATCAACCATAAAGGTCTCGTACATCTTGATCTTTCGAGTGGCCGTTACGCCTTTCGCTTTTCCGGGTATATCGACGATTTTCCATGGCTGACCGCCGAAGTAGAGGCGCTCAGCATCCTTTCGTGTGAGGAAATTATCGAGCGGGTTGTCGTCGAGATATTCCGATGCTAGGTGGGCGGATTTTGGAGGGAAGATTAGAGAGAGGCCGTGTGGGCCTGTTGTGTTTGATGTGTAGACGCAGTACTTTTGGCCGAGGGTGGGGAGATAGCTGCTAGTCATGCAGTACGGTTTGTGAGACCATGGAGCATACGGATGATCTTCGTTTGGAGCGAATAGATACTGTTGGAGATCTGGTTGTAGCAGGTCGTCGATGTCAAGGACGCCTACTGTCGCCGATGCATGCTGGAGTGCGAGTTGCAGGACAATAATCGCTAGGGTTAGGCAGCGCATGACTGCAATGACACCTCGCTGGATGTGAATATGAAAGCTTTCCACATGCTCTCGAGGCATAACAGCATCTTATGAGAGTCCTGTGTTATCTCATAGTGCTCGTTGTGTCATGTTTCCCGAAGCGGCAATGTTCGTCACGTAGCTTTACCCGGAAATTTATCCCAGACGTTCTCCCCGACCCCAAGAGACTTGGGCACTTTGCACGCCTTCCCGCTCGGTCTGAAGACCAATTGTAAACGGGTTCTAGTCAATCTTGGCCAGACGGTTGATAACGTGAGGCTTGTCGCCTAGAAGTGCTGATGCAGGACGAATTGATCGCCTCGGCAGCAGGAATGTGGTCAAACCTGGTTTCCGGGTGGCAATGTGTACGGTCTTTCAATGTGCTTCAATCGACTACCGATATTTTTAAGTGGCAGTTTTCCGCTTGTGAGCGACTTGCACAAGCTGCAGACTTGTTGCCCCTGCTGAGCTCAATTCATCCCTACTACAATGAGTAAAGCGCAAATGTTAGCGGCCTATATGACTCCCTTCTGCATGTGCCGCATTCTCTCTCGAACGTGTATGCTTTGCCAGTCTATGCCTTGCATCATTGCGTTATCGAATACTATGCCGTTCAGTCTCTGCAGCTCTCTCTGCAAACAGATGAGCTTTCCAAACACGTAGCAGACGACTGCTACTAAAGAGAAGATAAGGATTTGTCCTGGCCTGTTCCATCGGGTGCAGCGATAGAGATAGAATGGTGTCGCAGCCACAGCCCATCCCAGAAACCATATCGTCGATGGAAGGTCGTACACGATCGCGAAGGCATGGATGACGATTGTGCAGATAAGGATGAAAATCTTCACACCTCCAGCAACGTCGTGGCCTATAGAAGCCCAAGGAATCTGGGAGTAAGGTCAGATCTCAAGCTGGATAATAAATTCGGGTACACATGCTTACCTGTAACGATGGGAGCCCATACCGATGTAAGAGGATATCAATCCAGTCGCTCCTGCCGTACAGATCTTCGATCTCCTTTTTTAGGCGACTAAAAGCTTTATCTCTGCCTTCGCCGTATATGAGCGGCATCTGAACTTCGAATATGCCAAGAAGACAGTACGCGGCATCTTCCTCCCTTTTCGTTCGACGATGCTCTGCCCAGTTCATGCGCTCTTCAACAGGATATTTGAGCATAAAGTCTGGACCATTTTCCAATGCGGCTACAGGAATGCTCGTCTCACGTGCAATTTCTTTTGCAAGGGAAGACCTGTCTCCAATTCTTGTGCCATCCATGGAGAAGAAGACAACGCTCCTTGGTGCTAGAAGCTCCTGAAGCGTCCATCCACGTGTAAACCATCGATTGCCTTTGAAAGGTGGTTGCTTGTGTCTCGGCAAATACCGCATGCCAGTGCTGGGTACATCGGAGAGGTATACATAACATGCTGTGGAATCCCGATACCACTTAAACATCGAATTGATGGCTTCAGCCAATTCCGCGCTACTGCTCTTATCTATGCAGCATGCATCAACCCAGAAGAACTCGAGATTGTCTCTAGCGGCCTGCGCAGCACAGAACTGGAGCTTGGCGTAGCCGGGTTTCTTTTTGCCCTTGCCCTTGCCCTTGTATATGTCTTTGAGTGTCACTTCATCCTCGTCGGCGCCCCAGGTATGTGATAATATTGCGTATGTTGGCATGTAGCGAACAAATTCAACGAGTTCGAAGTCGTCGCCAGAGGCATGCAAAAGGCGCATGTTACCGTTAGTATAGAATCTTGGGAAATAAGCTGGAAGAATTGAGATCAAATGTTTAATGATTGTTGCCTTTGGGCGAGGAAGGGAAACATGTTGTGGTGACAACGACGCCAGTGCGGGGCAGTGCAGTGAGGCTGAGCGTGATACGTTAGCATGGTGTTTTGTGGCGGCGCTAAGATTCAGCCTTCCCAAGCCATCCAAGTTCGTGTCGGCTCAGCAGGAGAAAGCCGTCTGGCATGTAATTTTGAGGATGGCAACGGGTCGGCTCTTCGGTGATCAAGATGAGTTGAGCAATAGTGTGCTTCATATTGAACATGTGTCTTGTAGTCTTCCTAACCGATCCACGGTATTCCAAAGCAGCCTCGCTCCACCGAATCGTCGTTCAACCTATGCATCATCAACATCAGCTCCACGCCTCAAAGCTTCGAGCTCATACCAGTATACGCGATGCACTCAATCTCAACCGGCACGCCCTTTGGCAGCTGCTTAACGGCAACACAGCTGCGCGCGGGCTTGTGGGAGAAGTACTGCTCGTACATGCCGTTCATCTCGGCGAAGTTGGCCATGTCGTCGAGGAAGACATTGACCTAGCGTCGTAGTCAGCACCTCATCGGCTGTTTGTCCATGTATGTTCTTAAACGCACCTTGACGATCCTGTCCATAGCAACACCGGCCTCAGTGAGGATGCCCTTGATGTTCTCGCAGCACATCTTGGTCTTGTCCGCGATGCTTCCCTCGATCAGGTTGCCCTTGGTATCGGCTGGGATCTGGCCCGAGACGAAGACATTGGGGCCTGCGACAATGGCTTGTGTCTAGACGGTGACGTTAACGTGGGTGTTCGGATGCGAGGGGCCCGATAGAGGAGGAACGTACGTAGGGTCCAGCAGCTGTGTCTCTGTTAGCAAGCTCTCCTTTTGCATCTCCGCTATCAATGGGAACGTACGAGGACACGCGTTAGCGGTGTGAATCTTCTTGATATCCGACATCTTTCGTATTCCTTTGATGTCAATTGCTCTGTAGGGTGAGGTTGTGATAGTAGGTCGCGTAAGATTCGTGGTTGTAGTAGTAAGAAGTCGTGAAGCACGTAGAGCTCTTGGTACCGCCGTGCGTATCAGCAGCATGGGACCGTTTATCTACGTCAGGTAAATCGAGGCTATCATCGGGCTAGGTGGACACCTAATTGAGCGCGTCCGCCCTATACCCGTGACATAAGATGGGGCTTGGGAGCGGCATCGGAAGCTACCCCACTTTCCCTCTTGGGCGGGCGCTGCGTGTCAGCAGCTTGCAGGGATGTTTTTGTTGATGGAGGGGTAATGAGGGCGGAAATTTTGGGGACGGCGACTTTCGCGACGGGGAAGGAGGGGATGGCGGCGCTATGGTGTTGCGCAGGGCACAGGGCTTAGTTCAGTGTCAATGACATAGTGTGGGAATGCTTGTTCGATAGTGCGTATACGAGTAAAGAGACTTTTGACGTATTTATCGTGATATCCTCGCGCGCATCTCTCATCGCGCCATGTCGTGACTATACAAACCACCAACGCCGCCCATATGCATTCCTATGCCCCATCTATAATGTGTATTGTTTACGGTATCGAGTCGAGATTTGAAGCCTGAAGATTACTAACCGTCCCGGTATTACACCCCTACTGTTCCATCTTCTCCTCCTGGCCCGAAAGCAATGTGTGTACAGGCGCGTCGAGCTGGTCGCGGCCCTTGAGGAAATCGAGTTCGAGAATGAAAAGGTATCCCATGATTGTTCCGCCTAGCTTCTTCACCAGAGAACCAGCTGCGGCTGCGGAGCCACCTGTGTCGTGTTAGCATCTCGTCTCGTCTCTGATGCGAACGATGTCACATACCAGTCGCAATAATATCGTCCACAATAAGCACGTTCTGACCGCTCTTGACAGCGCCCTCCTGCATCTGGAAGAAATCACTGCCGTACTCCTTCTTGTATTCCGCAGTCTCACACGGACCCGGCAGCTTGCCCCTCTTCCTGACGGGCACAAAACTCGCGCCCAGCCTCAGCGCAAGGCTGGGACCGAACAGGAAGCCGCGCGCATCGAGTCCGACGACGACATCTGGCTTGGCACCTGTCGCGCTGAACTGCTTCTCAATTGACAGCTCGAGACCGCGCAGCAGTCCCTCGTGGAGCGCGGGGTCTGCGAAGATGGGCAGGATGTCTTCGAAGAGGATGCCGGGTTCGGGGAAGTCTTTGAACTGGCGGAGCGAGGCCTTCAGCGTGCTTTTAAGACGGGCGAGTTCGGCGGCGGCGGAGGGACGGGGGGTGGACTGTCCGCCTTGGGAGGGGCCATGGCTGTTGGACTCGAGGGTCGGGTCGGGCTTCTGCGGGGGAGGGTGCGCGGCGGTTGCGTCGCCCTTGAGTGGGGGGTCGGCGGACGTGGTGGTGTTGATGGGGTGGGTGCTGTGGGCGGGCGTGTCGTGGGGAGCGGACATGATGGGACGAGGGGAGGGGGCGGCGTTGAGATATAAGACGGACGGGTCAGGTCTGTATGGGAGGGCGGATGCGATAGATAGGGCTAGGGCAGAAGCCGGGTTGGGGTAAGGTGGTCAGGGCTGGCTGGCTGCACTGCAATGCTGTCAGACTCAGGCGTCGTCGTGGTCGCTGAGAGTACCCAGCGCAACAAAAAAAATTGAGTTAGCCCCTCTGGAAAACGGTCCGCAGGGCCACACAGTTCCTAGGCCCACCACCGAAACCCCCGTATGGCGAATCGTAGGACTGCCTGGCACCATCATGGCGCCCGCTCCTTGTTCAGCCGCTCAGCGCTCAGCGCAGCACCTTCGCACTTGGTTGCCTATACACCACCACGCTGCTCGATGCGGCAGCTCCCTACGCCCGCACCGCACTCGCCCATCCTATCGCACGCGCGCCACGGGCAGCTGTATCGCCGTGATCCCTGACCCACAACTATCTGCGGCGCCAAACATGTGCCAGACTCGACATTTACCCTTATCGGAACCAAGGGATGCCGAACGAAGACGTGCATTCACATGTCGACGTCACGCCAGGCCAGAAAACGAGCACGTAGGCTGTAGGGTAAGAGTCATACTGCCGCTTCCCAACAATTTCTCCTGCCCTCCCATGGATCCCATGCCTTCGGGCGACTATAGTAGCTGCGTTACTGCTGAAAGCCCTTCTCTAGCTTTGCATTCGCGATTCGCGCAATCTATTACTCAAACACGACATGTCAACAACATGATCTGCGTCCGCTGTCTCGCAACAAAAGCCAGTACCGTCGAGGCGTAGCGGGGATCTCATGTGCAGTACCCCACGGATGTGGTAACCGAAAGGCAACTAAGGCGTTGTCGCAGCGGTGAGACGTTCTAGAAGGTCGAGCGGGATCCTGGGCTTGTTGTACCACGCTGGTATACCACCACACAATCTTTGTTCAAGATTAGTGTAGACGGTGAAGAGAGTTGTGTATCGCGTTCCGCCGCTGCCTGAGCAGTAGCCAACGAAACACACACAGAGAACATGCTAGACTATCAAGCGCCTGCGACGGCGCAGACCATCCAAGGCAAGCAAGTACTTTACGCGTCCTCGCAGCGAGCAAGCCCTTTGTCTCCACATTAACCCGCGGCATGCATGCATACTCACTAAAAGACCCCAATAGGGCAATGCCTAGCGCCTTGTCGCCTGTCGTCTTGTTGACACCCGTCAACCGAATGCATGACGCGACCGTCAAGTTCTTCTCTGGAACCGCGGTTGACCAGCGTTTCGTCACACGATGTCTTAGTCACGACAAAGGGACTCTGAGGCAGCAGACGCGTGTCTGTCGGAAGAACCATGGTAGCAGCATCTCAGGTGGATTGGACATGCTCTAGAAGCTCGATAAAAGGTGGGTATATATTGTTTGATATGCCGCTGCAACCGCGGAGGCTCCCGATGGCCCAGACTAACTGTCCTCAATACATGCTGCCTACATGTCGTAACCCTCTCCACTACATGTGTGCATGAACTACCAGAATAAGACGAACTAACCCCAAACGTCCATGTTGTTCACAATGCACTCCTCGTCTGTCCGCTTCTTCAGACTACCAACAACATAGACCTTCTCGCCATACTCTTGCAATCGGTCCATGGTTGTCCTGACGTTCTCTTGGCTAACAACGAGCACCATGCCGAGACCTGTGTTGAACGTCCTCGCTAGTTCCGTGTTATCCAGGCGACCTGCCTTCTTGAGCCATTTGAACACGTCCAGAAGCGGCCAGCTCTTTGCATCGAGCTCCGCGGTCAGGGTCTTTGGCAACATGCGAGGAATGTTCTCTAGCAGGCCGCCGCCCGTTATGTGGGCCATACCCTTGATCAGGCCCCGCCGGGTTGCAGCTAGTAGCGGTTTGACGTAGATCTTAGTTGGTGTCAGGAGTGCCGTTCCGAGGTTTTCGCCTGAGCTCCATGGGCATGCGTCTGAGTAAGAGATGCCTTGTGTCTCGACAATTCTTCGGACGAGAGAGAAACCGTTGGAGTGGACTCCACTTGAGGCCAGACCGATAAGTACGTCACCCTCGGCCATGGACGCTGTGTCTGGTAAGATCGTTGCGCCCTGCTTGATCGCACCGATCGCAGCACCTCCGGCGTCGTACTCGCCTGCCTGGTAGATGCCGGGCATTTCTGCCGTCTCTCCACCAACAAGGGCACATGCAGACTGCCGGCAGCCGTTCGCGACGCCCTCGACAAACTTGGCAGCGCCTTCTACATCAAGCTTGCTGCAAGCGTAGTAGTCGAGGAACATCAGAGGCTCGGCGCCTTGTACGACAAGATCGTTCACGTTCATGGCGACGAGATCGATACCGACAGTGTCGTGCTTGCCCATCTCGAAGGCAATCTTGACCTTTGTGCCGATACCGTCGATCGCGCCCACCAGTATGGGTGCCTCAGTGTAGCCAGCTGCTTGCAGGTCGAGCAGCCCACCAAATCCACCGATCTTGCCATCGGCTCCAGGGCGTTTTGTGCTAGCAGTCAACGCCTTGATCTGCTTAACGAGCTGGTTGCCCGCGTCGATGCTCACACCCGATGATGCGTATGTCAGCGCCTCGCCAGCTGGCTGTGAGGTGCTTGAAGGGCGTGTCACAGTGGTGCCTTCCTCGGCCGGCTCAAGGAGCTTCCAGTCGCATGTTATGCCTTCCTTCTTGAACTCCTGTAGCAGATGTTCTGCGATCTTGTCGAAGTTCTCGGTAGCGAGTGCGAGAATGGTCGGCCCGGCGCCTGAGAGACAGATGCCCAGCAGGCCGGGGTGTGATTGTGGGGTAACGGATTGGAGGATTTCGGTAAGACCGGGGATGAGGCCGCGACGGTAGGGTTGGTGGAGCTTGTCTTGCATAGCTGTGTAGATCATGTCGGGGTCTGGTGTGGCTTGACCGAGTGCGGTGGTCAGGACAGCCAGTCGCTGCATGTTGAAGATGGCATCTTTGCGCGAATACGACTCAGGCAGTACCGCACGCGCCTTGGCCGTTGAGACCTCGAATTGTGGGATGACGCATATGCACTTGATAGCGGGCGACCAAGCAAACTTGGTGTAGTGTCCAATGTTGAGGGGAGGCTCGGGTGGCCGCAGACCCGTGTCTACACCACCTGCAGGCTGCGGGAGGACTTCGCTGAGGGGAATTTCGAGGCGCTCGGTGTCTTCGGGCGACAGTTCGTTGAGGTATGTGCCGACAAAGCCTCCATATAGCGCTGCTGCGACGTTGTCGGGGTGACGCTCTTCCATCAGGCAGTAGTCGAGCATGCGCGCTCTCGATAGCCCAAGGTTTCCGACCTCATTCGCCAGGTATACACCACCTACGATAGCCGCAGCCGAAGAGCCCAGTCCGCGCCCCAGTGGTATCGGGTTCTTGACGTGAACGTGTGTTTCCGAAGGGAAGTCGCGAACGCCATGGCAGCGGAGCACGTATACGGCTGTTCGCGTGATGAGGTTGTCTTGCGCAATGAGCGGGACATCTTCGGCGCCTACGCCTTCATATGTTATCTTGCAGTTGTGCGAGTGTTCTGATTTCTCCTTCTTGGTGACTGTGACCTCGAGTTCGAGATAGAGGTTGAGCGCAAGGCCAATGACGTCAAAGCCGGGGCCGATGTTAGCGGACGAGCAGGGGATCTTGATGTGAG